TCTAAGTAGGAAATAAATAAAGATAGTTTTACTGACATATTTCTTGTGCCTGAGCAGATCAAGGGTTGACTTACTCGTGATTTGGGCGTGGTCCCAAATCCCAGTTTTGTCCGAGCACGATCCACTCTTTCATCTGGGCAAAAACAGTTCTCCAAAAAGTTGACGTTTTAAAGGCCAAATAGAGAACTGACGCGGTAAACGCGGTAAATCTAAAATAGGGAATTATGCCACTTACATGCAAAGCGCTTACCATCATGAAACCTCGCACTTGCGTTTTAATTCACGTGACATTCTCTTACAAGACAACTACTTCAGCTCACCCACCGAGCGTAAAACTAGAACAAGTTTTGCTCTGACTGGCGCTGTTTATGCTATGTAACATGGCTCTAACTTTTACGTTTGTGCACGAAATCCTAAAGTGCAACCATTGAAATTTAAAAGCTCCTGAGCAGCACTTTCCTGTGGTACTGTTTACTAAGCTGCGCAAGGTGGTTCTAACTTTTGAGTCTGTGGATGAAATCCTAGAGTGACTATTCAAGTGAAAGCTACTGAGCAATACTTTCCTGTGGTACTGTTTATTCTGCTATACGAGGTGCGTCTAACTTGTGGCTGTGTCGATGAAATCCTAGGGTGTAACTATTCAAAAGAAAGCAACCGAGCAGTATTTTTCTGCTATACTAATTATTACGCTGACTGTGCAAGGTGGTTTTAACCTATATAACTTTCGAGTTAATTACATAAAATTAAAAAAAATTTTGCTAGGTCATTAAAACGAATCCTTTCAGCAACTTTATCTTGTGTAGCCGAATCAGTACAAGTGTTTCCGGTCTCCACACCGAACCTCTTCGTTTAATAAAAGATTTTTCTTCTTTTTCTATGCGAAACGTCCACGGTCGGGACAACCACAAGCACATTTGGCTTGTCTGCCAAGAGTCACATGGCTGTTGGTCTGCCAAGTCAACATATCCGTTTATTTTTCTAATGTAGGAATTACATACAAAGATGGAAGCAAATAGCGACAAGAACAGCATGTCTTACAGTGAATGAATAGATGGAACAGAAGCTACTCGATTATTCTAAAATCGGCTTATCCAAACAATAAACATGAAAAATGTCACGTTGATGTGTAGGAAATGGCAAGGACGCACGAATATTATAAATTTAAGGTCTGGACCAGAGGCATGACTCCCAAGACTACTAAGACTTCGTTTTATCAAGACAAAGGACATTACTTTACAACGGAACAACAAAACCACTACTATAAGGCAATGAGTTCACTTCAATGGCTAGATCTCTAAAAATGATTAGAATCAGATCAGTTTTTTGTCGTCTCGCTGTGAGGATCTGCTGGCCGTTGTTGTTTATTGTCTTTATTCACTACTTTAAAACATTGTAACCCGCTCGGTAACAACAATTCCTGAACTTCTCAGTCGATTTAATTCACGGTGACATCGAGTGAAACGGCACCTGTATTACAAAAAGACGCGAGAAGAGGGGGGAAGGGGGGGAGGGGGGGGGGAGAGAAAATTGAAGGAAAGC